GGTTCTGGGGGGCGGGAAGTGGGAGGGGCAGGGGCGGGGCTAGGGCGGGGCTCCTCCCGTCCTCTTTTTTGCTTGTTGAAATATGGTAACCCTACATTAGAGAGACTACATTTCCCTAGTTATGTGAAATTACTATAAAGTGGGTGTATAACCGGTAGAAAGATTGTACTCAGAGTAGTTATCAATGGTTCACTGTGTGGACATATCTAGTGGAGTCCTGCAGTGGTCAGTTTGGGGTCTGGTACTTTTAACATTTTCAGTAATGACTTGGATAGTGGACTGGAAAGTATGCTTATAACATTTGAGATGACAATGAGCTGGGAGGAGTTGCAAGCATTTTGGAGGTTAGGATTAGAATTCAAAACGACCTTGACAAATTGGAGAATTGGTCTGAAATCAACAAGATGAAATTCAGTAAAGACCAATGCAAAGTACTAGATAATACTTAGTCCTGCAGATAATACTTGGGCTGCAGCTGTGTGCTAATTGGACCGCGGGTTTGAGAATGTCTGGTCTAGGTATACTTGATCCTACCTCACAGGGCCGGGGGCAGCACTAGATGACCTCTCAAGGTCCCTTCTAGCCCTACATGTCTGAGATTCTAACATGTTTTACAAGTTTACTGAATAAGGGAGTAAATAAATAAAATATTTTAATTTACTTTGTCTATGATACATGCATTAAAGGAATCAGTGAAATAAATTAATCAATATAAAACAAGGTATATTCCTTGATTATTTTTCCAAATATCCTGTAGGTGAGTGTTACCCTGTAGAACCTATTTCTGTATATATAGGTTTTTAAAACATGGTAAAACATATGTACTTTGTAATATTTGGTGGCCTAGTAATGGTATTATTTAGTCCATGAGGGCAAACATTTCTTTTTAAAAAAGAATCCCACTGATATTTTCATATTGAATTTTAAGAGGAAGAAAATAAAATCTTAAACATTTCAGAAAAACACACTTAGAAGTGGTTTGAGACATGGATCTGTGTAGGGACTGATCCTGAATATATACCCAAAGTGACAGAAAAGAAGAAATGTTTTATGTTGTTGCCTACCCAGATACTGCCAAACATCGTGCTAGCATGAATGTTTCACACTGTGATAGAAAATTAAAAGTGCACAGACTGTCTTCCTATGCCTAAAAGAAATTCCATCTTGAACGTTGTCCCAGATTGTAGCTCTTCTTTACAAAGTTCCAAATAGTCTATAGAAATTATACATGCGTGCAAACTGTGTGTGAGAAAATGCCTGGTGCTGCGGTATGCCGCAAAGGCTTAACAGTGTGAGTTTGGGATGGGCATAGTTAGTGAATGGTGACTCCACAAATGAGTTATGCAAGATCATCCCAAATGAGTACCAGAACCCGCATCTCTCATGGTCACATTCTGTATATGCTTTAGGGATATTTTTTTTTTAAATGCTGCTAGGATTTTTTTCCCCTTCATTTGTCTGCTTGCTAAGATAGGAGACTAAGTTACCATAAGGTCAAATGTAGAGAGCCTCAGAAGCAAGTTTTAAAAAAAAAATCCACCTAAAATTTATTTTAAATAACCTTTTTAGATGAAAATGTTAGTTTTAAAATCATAACATTATAGGACCTTTCAGGGCTAGAAACAAGTGCATAGTTCCATTGGAAATGGAGAAATCGCCCTTTGCAATAATCTAAACTTCCTTTTCTAGTCTTGCAGGTCTATGTGATATCAGACTTTTAAAGGAATGATATTTTTATACATCAAAAAGTATGTAGTAGATTACAGATAACTATGGATCCCCGTCAAACAAATAGTGCAAAACTGTAGGTAATATACGTATCCCTGCATTTTGAAGGATGTAGTATGTAAAAACTCTGAGCACCTATTCTGGAGAAAGGATCCTCATCAGCAGGTTACATGGGTTAGGAGCAAGCCAGATGGCAGAGATAAGGATCATAGATGTTTGGCTATACACTGCAGTACTACTTGGTGTGTCTGAAAAGACTTGGACAGTGTAACTGGATGAAGCTTCATTGTTGTCTGAGCACAATGCTAGGAGCCAGAACTTCCTGAGTTCTTATCCCATCTCTGAAACCTCTGTCTGTGTGTAACTTTGGGCAAGTCAGACTCTGTTGCCCACTCTGAGTACTTCTACTTCACTCCCTAAACTGGACACTTTTTTTTTTTCTAATTTCAAACAAAAAAGAAATGTCAATGAAAAATCCTAGAGGAAAAAATTGACAAAATATTTGAAGTTCTTTTCTAATCTTTCAGCCAACTATAGAGCTGGTCAGAATGTTTTGAATTTTGAAAATTTCAAAAATACAGGAAAAACACAAGTGAGGGGGAGCTAGTGATTTACCCCCTCCCAAACACCCTCACATTGGAGGAGGGCCTAATTCTATAGGGTGCTAATTGTCTTTTAACTCCTATTTGAAGACAACAGGATGTGAGGATGTACAGGAGGCACTCAGGAGCTTTTAGTATAAGGCACGGGTATTTTGAGGATTAATTAATATCTGCAAAGCACTTTGGCAGTGGAGGTATGTTACATATACAATGACTTCCTTTTATTATTAACACAATGTCATAGCAAGTCTATGAACTCCTCTTTGAGTCCCTCCACTGGCTACTGTTTTTCAGCTCGAAGTCAAGCTTCTTGACCTCATCTGTTAAAACCCCTCACCACTCTGCCCCTTCTTACTCACCTGATCTTATCTCTTGTATAATCTCCCCCTCTGGCTAACCCCACTGCCCCTGAATTGATCTGTAAGACCACTATACTCTTTCTTCATATCCCTCTAGCTTGTCCACTTCTGTCTTGCAATATTGGCTAGGTTGTGGGAGAGTCTAAAATAGTTGCTGTTACTCTTTTAATAATTCATAGGTGGGGAAAAATTCCCAATAATTCAAAACCATCAGGTTTTGCGTATAGCTAATGTAACTGTGTGATCTTACTGCTGGTCCCCTTCCACTCCCCTGCTTCCCTTTTAGTGTTCCTTACCTTTGTTGAATCTTCTTTTGGGTTAATTGTAAGCTGAATAGTTTCAATCACCAGACATTAAGGAATAGCAGTCAACTATGAGATATTTCCCGTCATGAGAAGACACAGTCAATTTGTACTAATTCAAAACAGAACAGCAAATAGCACCTATCCAAAACCAAACAAGTTCTAACAGATGTGTGTGCCAGTATGAAGCTACTCCATCCCACTAGAACAGACTCCCTCCAGGAGCATTACATGCAGTAATGTATTCTTAGTGCAAAGGGGGGAAAGCTAGCATGTTGTTGGTTCCCTGAGCCACACATGTGGAACAAATTTCACCCTGAGCCTCACTTACCTTCAAACAGCAGCTTAACATGACATGTGGTATCTTTCTCTCTCCTTCTTGCTAGGATGCAACATGATTACTTTGCTTCCAAAACACCCATCCAAGGGGGTATGGGCCATTGTAATGTTATTGCCTCTCCTTCTGTTTCCCAAAACACCATTTGAAAATGTCTGGAACATTAAGCCGATTCAGATATAGGTATTATTTATATTAAGGTGATTTTTTACAAGGTGAGATTTGTGCAATAAGGAGATATATTAATTGTATAAGGTTAATATCCAAGCTTAGTCACAAATACAGCACCTAAGAGGGTGACAATTTCCACAGAAATAAGTGAAGAAAGATGGATTTTATCTGTGAAGTCACAAGCAGCTTTCTTTGCTAAATGTCTTGCATTTCACAGATAAAAATGTAAAATGTTCCTTTCTCCTCCCTTTCTTCTTCTTCTTGCCCCTCCCTCCCCCAATATTTCTTTAGATCTTGCCACTTAGCAAGAATGATGGCTTTTGTAGCTACTTTTTCCAGCTGTCTGTTTCATTTCTCTACAACTCTTTACCCTACTTTATGTCTTTACAGTTCTTTAAAAATAAAAAAGTTCAGCAGCAGAGCAGAATCTGTCTACGTTTTGAATGAAGGGGTAAATGTATTTGTGCTCATGCTGATAGTGAGCATGCTCAGTAGTTTTTGATGGATTTCCATAGGAAAGATAGTAGGAGTTGGGGACTTGAAGGAAGCACTGGGACCTTTGACTTTAGTTAGCTAAGGAATCTGAACCTAATCCTTACAGTGGTCCACATGTCAGAACATGTCCTCCCCCCTCCTCTTGATTTCATTGAGAGTTAAATGCATGTAGGAAGTGCAAGACCAGGCCTTAATAGAGACCTACTCTACTCTGACCTTACTAGGTGAACACTTAGTGAGTCGGGATATTATTAGTCCTCTGACCAGCTCTCTCTGGAATCAGGCCTGTGTATTGCTGTGTTTCTCTAATTTTATTAACTAGACTTTCCTCTGAACATTGTGTCTGCTCTCTTAGGCCTGGTCTACACTGGGCGGAGCAAGCTAAGTCGGTTTAAGTTACGCAACTTCAGCTACAAAAATAACATAGCTGAAGTCGACGTACTTAGCACTACTTACCGCGGCGTCTTCACTGCGGTAGGTCGACTGCTGACGCTCCCTCGTTGACTCCGCCTATGCCTCTCGCTCCAGTGGAGTACCGGAGTCGACGGGAGAGTGCTTGGCTGTCGATTTATCGCGTCTTCACTAGACACGATAAATCGACACCCCGCCCCCCGCCCCCCGCTGGATCGATCGCTGCGGAGGTAAGTGTAGACATACCTTTATTTACTAAAACTTTTTCTAAGGGCAAGTCCACACTACAAAATTAAGTCGACCTAAGTTACATTGACTTACAGCCACCAGTAATTTAAACTGTTTTTGCACGTCCATTCTGTGCTTCTTGTGTCTGGTGTGGGTCCTCACTAAGAGCACTTGTACCGACTTAACTGGCAGTGTGGGGCATTGTGGGAAAGCTTCTCAGAGGCAGAAACAGTCAACATAAGCAACGTAATATCTACACTGACACTTCGTCGACCTAACTACATTGACTTAAGCTTTACGCCACTCGTGGAGGTGGAGTTAAGTTGGTGTAGTGGGAGAGTTTCATTAATGAGAGCAAAAAGAACAGGAGTACTTGTGGCACCAATAAATAAATAGATTTTGTTAGTCTCTAAGGTGCCACAAGTACTTCTGTTCTTTTTGTGAATACAGACTAACACGGCTGCTACTCTGAAACCTGTCATTAATGAGAGCTGCATTTTAGCATAGACACTGAGTACAGTCAATGTAAGCTATCTTACGTTGACATAACCCTGTAGTGTAGACCAGGGCTAAGGAAGTGGTTGTCCTTTGTCTTGCATTTTTTCAACAAGAATGTTGAACTTCTGTCAGCAACCTATAAAGTTTCCACAAAATTGTCACATGGAGTGTGACTTAACATCGCTCTTCCTTCTTGCCCCCTCTCTCTCTCTCTCTCCCTGTTCCTTCGGATTCTGATTTCCTGTCCCAGTCTTCTAGGGACTCTGTTGGCAATTTCCCCTCATCTCAGTGTTACTCTCTCTTTATCTATCTATTGAAAATAAGCACAAGCCACATTTATTATGAATAAAAATAGTATATGAATAAAAGTGACAGTGGCTAGTTTTTAAAGCAATCAAAATTAGCTGCAAGTCACATGCCCAGCCATCACTGTGTAACTTGGGACCTACTTAACTGTGTGTGTAGAAAGATAGTAACACACTGTTCCTTTCCTTCTCTTCCATCCCTGCTTGTTTCACCACACTGCTGTTCCATTTCACTCTCTCTTTCCCTGCAGTTTATCTTCTCCATCAGCGTCTGCCTCCTTTTATTATTCTAGTTGTTTAGGAAGAATCACACCCTACAGTTCTGAATTAAGACATAGGAACCCTTGTAAGCACAACATGAATAACTTTAAACACAAAAGCTACTTTCACCATCTACTTCATTGGTTTTGTTCACACGTGAAGGCAAGAAATTCCCCTGACTTGGATATGAAATAAATGCTTGTGCGCTTCCAGGATATCTGGGGGGGGGTGGTTCTAATTCGGAAAGATCTAACTTTTTCTGTAAACGTGGAAGAAGTGGATATCCTAAAATGACCTCTGAGAGCTGTCTACCCCGAATGCAGATGCATTCATCTGTTCAGACAAAAAAAAAAATGTACTTTGGCAGAGTCAAAGATTCTACTTTGATTTTTGGAAATACATACTCTGGCAGACTAGCTACAAACAAGCAGCTGAGTCTTCTAGCAGCATTACAATTACATCTGGGACCTGTTCCAGGAGCTCCGTTTGCCTTGCCAACATTCACAAAAGTGTTTATAGTTGGCAGGAGATAGCTGACTCGGGGACCCAAAATACAATTACAGTTCTTCCCGTGTATTCACAAATTACGTGGCAACTGGAATCTGGGACTAGAATGATTTTCGTAGTGGGGTGATTTTGGTAGAACCTTCAGACAAAAGTTTAATTTAAAAGGAGTTTAAAAAAATAAGAAGGTGTTACTGTTTCTTACATTCTCCTCTGTAAACCTATTTTTAATTAAACAGAATCTAAGCCTTCAACTGAGAAGTGTGCATGGAGCTTTGATAAGCCTCTTCTCCTTTTTGGATGAATATCTTATGGTACAAAAGTACGAAGTCCATCTCATCAAGGAATAATGTGATAACATAGTAATTTGTTACATAGTCACCTCCTTAGATTTATGCTTTTTGGGCTTCGTGGTTCCAGAAAAATGTCACCTGAGAAGCCAAGTTATCAATAAAGCAGAAGGCAAAAATCCAACAATTTATATATGATGGAAAAATCATTATTTTTTTGTTTTTGTTTTAATTCTCAGTTAATTGCTATGAGTTAGAGATCTTGCAGCAAAGTAAGAGGTTAAAATCAACTCAACTTTTTCACTTCTACAAGGAGAAAATACACCCTTGCACTCAGTCCTGAAGAACCTTATTTTATTTCCAAATTATTATTTAATAGATATTAAATATTCCATATATTCTTTTAAGGAAGAAAAGCCTATTTGAAAGTCCTTACTGATAATTTTCTGAAGATAAAATACTTGTGTGGTTATTTTGTTTCAGGCCCTCCACCTTCCAATGAAATGCCAGCTGGCAACTATCCATTCCTGGTGAAGTCAGATGATGGGAGGCAGGTGCCAGTGGTACAAGCCTATGCTTTTGGGAAATATCTTGGTTATTTAAATGTAACATTTGATGATCAAGGAAATGTAATTAGAACATCTGGAAACCCTATTTTGCTAAATAGCAGTATTCCTGAAGGTATGTGAAACAGAGATTTGAGTTTCTATAGATCAACCAGCTAAACTTTTAGCTTTATTGCTTTTTTTTAAAAGTAAAGTACAATGCTACAGGAGAATTTAGCATTCCTCTTAATTTGGTCGTCTTTGGCATCAAGTTGTGGCTACATTATAAGGCTATAATCTGCTTTCTTCACTGACTCCTTTCAGCAATCAAACAAGTTTCCAGTTTATCACATTTCAGGTGTTTGGGGTTTTTTTGGGTCTATGTAAAATCACTAATCGCTTCTTCACGACATTCAGGCAATATATTTCCATGACATTTAGCATTTTTAGGCTACTCTATAGACATTTCATTTTAATATTGCTTAAATGGGCATGAAGAGTAAACTAACATCTTATCCCCTAAGGATGATTCCTTCAGAACAGAGTTTGGAGCAGGATGGGGAAATCTTGGCTCTTGGTATCTCTGCACTTGGTTTGTGGACAAAGAAAGGGCTTTGATCTGAGGTTGTCAAGCCAGCACTTTTCTTACGCATTTCAGTTCACTCTAATTGTAAAAACAACCAAGCAGTTTTATGTGGGTTGCTCATGACCTTTTAAATACATTCAGGCAAAGCACATCAATGTGCAAATGTAATATACAAAAAACACATGTTTTTCATCAAACATTATAAAACTGAAGGAGGAAAATCCTTCCACGGTTTGTTTTGTAAATACATATCTCATATACTTCCAACCCAGCCACCCTGTTTGTTTCATTTAGTGGTTGCTTCCTGTCTGATGTACAGATTAAAAGTTCACTGGGTGTGTATTCTTTGTTGCTTGTTTGTTCGTTGCCTCCCACCGTGGGGCCCTGATCGTGGGTTGGAGCTCTTAGGCACTACCAGCATATAAATAATCAATTTTGAAGTGACCTATTCTTCTAGGTGTTTCAGCTTTGCCGGTCACATGGTTTTCACAAGTTTAATGAGCTTAATTAAACCAGGTCTTGAACATTATAGTAATTCTCCAATGTCTGTGAATGTTATAATTCAGAATACTAGATATATACATGGTGAAGTACAGTATTCTTAATGCTTATATGTTGCTTGCAAATTAACCTTGTAACGTGCCAAATGATATACACAATACAAAATCATCAGAGAAATTGTATGATGGCTGTATCCAAGTTATGTTTGGTTTCCGAAAATAAACCATCAATTTGCTACTAATAGGATATCTATGCATATAAAATTAATTCCTAGTTGAGTAATCCTATATGGTTATTTGGGTTATTGGTAAGATTGTTCAGTTTTGAAATATGCAAATAGTGTTTTAAACAAATTTGTAAGGTAGTGATGCTATAAATAGGAGTAACTGAGATAAGTAAGAGAAAATTTAGTTTGAATGTTTAAAAAAAAAAAAGGCTCTGCTGGACCAAAGGACATGGTAGAAGTCCCATTGATTGGCAGTTTAAAAGAAGCCTGGGCAAAAGTAATTGCAAATGTACTGCAGGGAATAATCCTGCAGTGGCAGGGGATCAATTCACTCACCTAACTGTATTTTCCCCCTATTTCTGGGTTTTATGATTATAATGAATATTGTAATCTTGTAACAAGTAGGATCCTTCGTAATTTAACTCATAATTGGATTTCATGTAAAGTAAAATTTGATATTATTCAATGAGGTCTCATGCAAGGAAAGGTTAATATATTCTAGAATCACTAAGGAGCAAATTTTCCATAAAATTTGTATGAACGTAGGGATCTAATTAATGGAAGACTTCTTCTTCGAGATGTGTTGCTTATGTCTATTCCAGGCTAGGTGTGTGCATGCCATGTACACAGTTGCCAGAGATTTTTCCCTGAGTGGTAGCCATTGGGCCAGCTCGAGTGCTCTCTGGAGTCGCAGGCACATGCACCAGTATAAGGGGCCCCCCTGGCCCTGTGCCCTCTCAGTTCCTTCTTGCCTTCCATGACGCTTGCCTGGATGATCCTCCTTGGTCTTGCAAGGCTTCTTTCCCAGTGGTTTGGACTTTTCTGTCGTATATTGCATAGTTATTATACTTAGTGTTAGTTTATGTAATAGCGTTAATAGTTGTCCCTGTCATTGAGGGACTTCCGCCACAGGGGCTGGACATGTCCCAGTCCCCAGGCTTCAAGCTGTGTGCCTCCTGTGGCAAGCCAATGCCAGTGAGTGACCCACACTCTAGCTGTCTAAAGTGCCTCAGGGAATCTCATGTTAAAGAGAAGTGTCAGATCTACAGGGGTTTCAAACCGTGCACACACAAGGATGGGATATTCGTCTAAAGGCCTTATCCATGGAGGCAGCCCTCAGACCAGTCTTGCAGCTGAGCCGCTCCAAATTGGCGCCAAGCACTTCAGCATGCAAGCCAATTGACAATTGTCTGATCGAGAGTCACTCACAGGCTCAGGTCCAACACAGCATCGGTACAGTATACGCCACCTTCCAGGCCCTGGATCTGTTGATAACAAGTGGAAGTCAACTCTGGTCCTGGTTCAGAGAATAGAATTCATCATGGCAGTGCTCGATTTGACACAGGCCAAGGCCTACCTATCAGAGCCAGATTCTGAGCTATATCAGACCTGATCTCCGTCACGACTCACCCGGTAACAATTGCTCGTGTCTGCCTCAAACTATTGGGACGCATGGCGGCATGTACCGATGTGGTACAGTACCAAAGGATATGCCTCAGACCCCATCCAGATGTGGCTGGCATCAGTCTACTCCCTGAGAAGACATCACCTAGACTCAATACTCATGATTCCACCTCTGGTCATCGCTTTGTTGACCTGGTGGAGAGACCCAGGATCAGTAATGGTAGGGATATTCTTTGCTGCTCTTCAATCATCCATTACCCTAGTCTGAGATACATCAGGGTGAGGAGCCCATCTTGGCAGTTTCAGGACTCAAGGCTTCTGGTCCCAGGAGGAACTTGCCCTGCATATAAATGTTAGGTATGCTTGGCTTCCCCAAATCTCAGGCAGATTGGTGCAGGTTCTGATGGACAACACTGCATCAGTGTTTTCCATCAACAACCAGGGAGGAGCCCTGTGCCTTCAGCACTGTGCCAGGAGGCTCTCCAGCTATGGGACTTTTGCATGAAACACGTCATTCACCTTGAGGCATCACATCTCCTGGGAGCCCAAAATGCCCTGGCAGATCACCTCAGCAGATCCTTTTCTTCTTCTTCTCACCATGAGTGGTCTCTTCACCTGGAGGTTGTCAGTGTCATCTTCCAGAGGTGGGGGCCTCCCCTGGAGGACCTGTTCGCCACAAGGCAGAACAGGAAATGCCATCAGTTCTGCTCACTATATGGGCTACCTTTCCGATGCTTTCCAGCTCTCAGGGGCAGACCACCTACTGTATGCCTTCCCACTGATTCCATGGGTTCACAAGGTCCTCCTGAAAATCACAGGACAAGGCAAAGGTTATCCTCATAGCACTGGCATGGCCACACCAGCATTGGTTTGCCACGCTTCTGGACCTCTCAGTAGCAGGTCCACTCACACTCCCACTCCCCCTGGACTTGATTTCACAAGACCATGGCCAGCTGCTTCACCTGAACCTCGCCTCCCTGCACCTGACTGCATGGTTGCTATGTGGCTGAACCCTGAAGAGCAGGCCTGCTCGCTAAGGGCTTGTCAGGTCTTGATAGGTGGTAGGAAACCCTCCCCCAGGACTACCTACCTGGCCAAGTGGAAATGTTTCATTTGTTGGGCCTCCGAGCTGAACCTCTCTCCATCCTGATCTTCTCTGCAGTCAACTGTAGACTATCTGCTACACCTAAAGCCTCAGTGTCTGTCTCTCTCATATATTAAGGTTCACCTGGCAGCCATCTCTACTTTCCACCCTCTGTGGTGAATGGCAGATCTGTGTTATCCCACAAGATGATGGCTTGATTTCTCATGGGGCTGGAAACACTCTACCCTCAAGTTCATGAGTCTCTTCCCCCTATGGACCTAAACCTGGTCCTCTCAAGGCTCACAGGGCCACCCTTTGAATCGTTGGCATCATGCTCTCTACTGCTTCTCTCCCCGTAATAGGTCACCTTCTTGGTGTCAATTACCTCAGCCAGAAAGGTCTCTGAAATCAAAGCTGTGACATCAGATCTCAGGTTTGTAGTGGGTCAGTGCCCCCTTAAACAGTGTTCTCCAAGGACAAGGTCCAGCTGTGCCCCCATCTGCCCTTCCTACCAAAAGTGGTGTCACAATTCCAGAACTAGGATATTTTTCTATGTTTTCTTCCCAAAACCTTACAAGACCCAAGGAGGAATGGTGCCTTCATACGTTGGATATTAGGTGGGCCCTCGCCTTTTACATTGAGAAAACTAAGTCCTTCTGCAAGTCCACCCAACTCTTTGTAGCAATTGTGGAAAGAAGGAGAGGGGTACCCATGTCATTCCAGAGAATCTCATCCTGGATAACCACCTGTATCTGAACTTGCTACAAGCAGGCAAAAGTTCCACCTCCAGTCATAGTCATTGCTCATTCCTCAAGAGCCCAGGCTTAGTTGGCAGCATTCCTTGCACAGGTACCCATCCAGGACATTTGCAGAGCTGCAACCTGGTTGTCTGTTCAGACCTTCACTTCTCACTAAGCCATCACCCAGTGGGCCTGCGATGTGCCGGTTTCAGGAGAGCAGTGTTGCAGTCAGCATGTCCATGAACTCCAAGCCCACCTCCGGGGGTACTGCTTGTGAGTCAACTACCATGTAATGGATATGAACAAGCACTTGAAGAAAAAACGGTTACTAACCTTTTGTAACTGTTGTTCTTCGAGATGTTTCTCATTTCCATTCCATGACCCAACCTCCTGCCCTTCTGTTGGAGTTAGCCGGCAAGAAAGAACTGAAAGGGTGGGGTCGGGGGTGCCCTTTTTACCAATGCATATGCGCATGACTCCAGAGGGTGCTAGTGCCAGCCCAAAAGATGCCACAGAGGGGAAAAGTCTCCAGCAACTGTGCACGCGGTGCGCACGCACCTAGCATGGAATGGTCATGAGCAACACATTTTGAAGAACAACAGTTACAAAAGGTTAGTAACCATTTTAACCTCATTCTATGCTTCTATTTTAGATAGAGTCTTGAAAGAAGAAGTTGACAAGTGGAAGATACAGCTAAATAATTTTTCTTCCCAAGTGATAGGAAAAACTATAGTTTACCTAAATGGTACAAGTCAGGCATGCCGTTTCCAAGAATGCAACTTGGGAAATTTGATTTGTGATGCCATGGTAAGAAACGACAGACTATAATTTAATCTGAATTAATATTTGAGGGCTTTGGGACAATTCAGCTTTACTGGACTCTCTAGAGAGTTCTATGATTCTTAGGGTTTTGTGTTGCTTTCATGTTAAAGTCTGGTAATAGTGAGATCCCTAGCAGAGTTCATAGAATTCTGAGGCAGCAGTTACTCCTTTTATAAGTGTTTGACATAGAAGATCTACCAGTTCCTGGATAGGTCTGGAATATGTTTAGCTCTCCCTTTTGGACTTGATCCTGAGAGTCTCAAAACTCCCACAATAATCATTAAAGTCAATGAATAGCTCTCAGGAACTCACTGCTATGCAAGTTTCAGGATGAAACTCCTTATGTGGGGCCAGGGCTGTTCTCAATAGAGCAAAAAAGAGAACGGATCAGAAATTGTTCATTTATCCCTGGCACTTGTTGCACAGAGTTGTGTGGATACTACCAACTCTCTAGGAATAGTCATTTGAAATTTTAATCAAATTTGCTTTGATTATTAGTGTAGTGGATGGTGCCCAATATTCACAGAAAGACAATTTCTCATTCATAAACCAGTTTTTATGCTAAAAATTTGCTGAAGAACTAAGGCTCCCAATTAATTTTTAATTCCCATGGCTGCTGTTCATGTCCAAGGAGATTTGAATTAGAGTAAAAAAAATTTTCAACACCATCAAATGCTCCACTAAAATCCCAATACAGTGATGCTGATATCTCTTCCCTTCAACCACTATTTTTGTAATTTACCTGACAAAGATACTAGATTAGTCTGGTAATGTTTATTCTTAAACCAGGCTGATTATTGCCTCATTATTCTATAGCAGTCTTTTGATTCTCTTGCTGAGTGTGTTTTCCATTTACTTTACTAGAGATAAATGCAGGAGGATCTCATTAAGTGAGGGTCTAATTTGGTCCTCTGAGCAACAGGTATATAGATTGCTCTTTACTTTTTGGAAAAATCTGCACTCCATTTGCTTTCCTCCAATCTTCTAGTTCTCTACCGTCCCAGGATTTTTAAGAAGGTTTCAAATATTAAATGCTAGTGATACAGTAAGTTGCTCTGTCAGGTCCCTTAATAATCTTGAAGGCACATCATTAGACTGGTTTATGTGTTTAAATTTTCTAATTATTCCCTTTCAAGGTTTTTATGAACAGCTATATTTAAGGTCTTTCACATTTCCTAGTTTTTGAGAGATGTGTAAGTTATTGTTCTGTATTTCAACGTTTTCTGAAATAACACATCACCCTTTAATTTTCCTTTATGACACTGTCTACGAATCATCCCTTCCCTCATTTAGTTTTGGCTTTAGAGGGTGCAGTTTAGGTTTCTACCTCCTATAATGTCACACTCTGGTTTTCAAAAAATTCCAGAGATCAGAGGAAGAAAAGACTGAGAGAGGCTTATTTTTAAACTTTATCTGTTTGTAAAAATAATAAATAATAAAACTATGGCTGCAGAATTTTTAAAAGTTTGTTCCTTAAAGATAGCTGTAAATGGCATGATTGATTAATTGGTTTTCTCCCTAACTCCTAGGGAGAAATCCAGGCCCACCAACCTGGAAAAAGCTCCCAGAAACTCTGATTTTGTAACTTGTAAAATTCCTGCATCTAGATTAAGCAAAGATTAAAAAGTGGTTAAAAATATTTTATGCTAATGTTACAGATTTACAATAATCTCAAACATCGAGATGAAAATACATGGAATCATGTTTCAATGTGCATCATAAATGGCGGAGGGATACGGTCACCCATTGATGAACACAACAATAATGGTATGTTATCTTGTCTAATGCTGCTTTTTATACTGTTGCCTGTACTTTTACATATTTTGCTATCATGCACTATACCAACTACAAAAGAACAGCTTTTCTGGATTCAGGACTATGGCCCTGATACTGCCAATGCTTATAATTTTTAGTTGATGTCAGTAGTTTCACTGGAACCACTAACATGCATAAAAGTTAAGCACATTGTATACATAACTGATTCTGAAACGCAATCAGAAACAACTAATATCTATATTTCAGTTCTTGAAGGTACACAGTATAGTCCCAGAATTAACAAATTAATTGAGCAAGCACCAATAGAATACTGGAATTTTAAGAATAATGAATAATATTCTCTCAATAGAGCTTATCCATTTTAGTATTCTAGACATAATCAAAATAGAGTTCCACCAACAGATAAAATTGGATCATATAAAAATCTGAAATAGCTTACAGCCATACTACCTCTTGTAAGTCTGGCCTAGACACCTAGGCTGCATCTGCACTGAGGCTATTCTCAACTTCTCCCACTGTTAGTTTAGCACTAATGCAGCTGCAGCTATGCTGGCACTGGTGACCGAACTAGCAGGGTTTGGTCACTGATGTTTTTACCACTATGGCTTGTCATTATGCTCAGAAGAAGTGGAGATGGTATTCTTCACTTCCTGTTCTAAACTTATGTAGGGTGGCTATGTCTGTTAGAAACCTGTTATGTTCTGCCACATAAGTAAGTAAATTCTGTATCCTCTTATGGTGCCATATATTCAGTCTAATATTATAACATCTAAGAACAATTTGTTTTAATTTTGGATAACTCATTTTGTAGGACTACTATAGCAATTGAAAGCAACAGGATAAGCTGGCTAAATTTTGTAAGAACTTCTGTTTTTTCTTGTCCCCAGATTGACAGGTAGCCATTTTCCATTTATCTTCTTTCATATGGCAAGAGAGGTGATAAGCAACATTCAAATAACCCAATTCAGAGTAGTGAGCCAGCAGGTCGCTTGGGAAGTGGCTTGGTGTAAATTCTGAGATGTTGCTGGCAAACAATTGAAGCGAGTATTCATTTACAGTGTGGTCTGTCATTTGCGACTGGTGCCCAGAGTCATTTTGCACCGTTTCCAGGGTAGGTTGAAGCCTGGAAGTACTTTTGTGGAGTTGGCAGTAAGGTGATTGCTTGGGACGTTGGCATTGTCCCAGAATTCTTTCCTGTGTGCCTCAGGATTGCATGACAATGCTTAAGAGCTTTAGCCCAATCCCAAAAAGGCTTGTGATATTTCAGGCATATCTTTGGGAAGTTCTGGAGGTCCTCAACAGTGTCTGTGTCCTTCTCCTTCAGAACTTTTGGAAGATAGTCATACATAGCATGGGACAGACCTCCTACATTAAGTAGGTACACATGTAAAGCTGGTCCTATGGTTCTCTGCTTCTGTCCCAGACAAGGACTCTTGACAGATTTTTGCATTACTAATCCATACCAGGAGATCGACAAACTGACGTCTGGTAGCCTTTTGACAATATTCATTGTGTTCATTATTAATATGTAGCAGAAGCACCACATAAAGGATGTCACCTTGCTCCCATTTCCACTAGTGAAGCTGCAGTGTAGGTGGGTTATGCATATCACAACATAAGCAGAGGTAGAAAATCCTTAGATATGTCTAGCTGGCCAGTTTGGAAAACTGAGATACAGATCAAAAGATGGAGTCTATACTCCTGTACTATTAAATTACATTGCTTCAAATGATACACGGCTTTATAGGTCATGTAGCACACTATTAAGTGATCTTAAACAAGATATGTAAGGTGCTTTATTATGAAGAACATTTGTTTACATAAAGTGGTGTTCTATCCAAGGTACTATTACGATGGAGGACCTGCTAGCTGTGCTGCCATTTGGAAGTACTTTTGATCTGATTGAGTTAAAAGGCTCCACTCTCAAAGAAGCATTTGAGCATGGTGTGCGCAGACATGGACAAGGAACTGGCGAGCTGCTGCAGGTTGGGGGTTAGTTACTCTCCTTTTTTTTTTTAATTATTATTATTCTCTTTCCAATATAGCCATACTTCATGCTGCCCTTGTTGGCATTTATACCTCTGGGGAACCAGCTGCACTGCCCCAAATGGAAATGAAATAAAACTGAAAATACATTTATCTTCATGATAGTTCTATGCACCATTCTGTTGCACAGCTTTTCTCCTCCTTCATCACTAATGAAATCTAGAGGCAGGTCAGTGTTGTTGCTGGAGGCTACAGGACTAACTTCTCCCCCTTTGTTCAGTCTACCAGATTTTTTGCCTCTGGGGATGGAACAAGTTGGCGGTTCAGTTTCCCCCACCATTTTGTTTTTGACTTTATTTTTATTCATTGTTGTGCGGCTGCGACATCAGTCTTCCCCCTCCTCCCCGGATCAGGTAAATAGCAGCATGGTGGCTTCAGCCACCTGCACCTGTTGTTCCCATGCTTCTCTGCAGGACTCCTCTGCCCCCTCAGTCCCTGGCTAAAACTAAGTAATGTTCCCTGCGTGAGGCAGCACTTAGATGCTCTACTGAGGGCAAATTGTGCCCTGCCTGTTCCCAACCAGCTGAGCCCCGCGCTGCCAGATACAGGGCTCAGAGTCAGACCAGCAGCTCAGGTCCCCACCCTGCCCCGAGGAGCCGTGACTCCAATGCAGAAAAGCCTGAGCAGGAGCTTCTGAGCATCTGGGGGGAGAGAAGGACGCTACCCAGCCAGCTCAGGAGGTAGGTTGCTCAACAGACCTGGGCCAGAGGGAGAGACCCCCCTGAAAGGAGCCAAAGTCCCTCCCTGACCCCCGGCTACTGAAGTGGGGCCTCTTCTCCCTGAGGGAAAGAAAAAAGGCTCCTATACTGCTCCCCTGCCTCCCCGTGTGAATTGAGGGATTCTTATGATGTTCAAAGATAAGTCTGGCAAACCCCTCAGGGGTCCCAAAAAGGTAAAGCAAGCATCACCTTTGCAGCGCAGCAGTTAATATTGTCAGTGAACAATGTATGCAATTGTCAGTGGACAATGGATGCAAACAGGAGTTAAACCCTTCCTTTGCCTTCCCCAGGCAGTGTTTGCTGGGGCTTTTCTGCTACACAGAGGCTCTCGAGTGTTCTGTATCATGCTCACCACCTCTTCCCCAATCCTGCAGCATGGCTGGGCCAGCAGAGGAGCTTGTCCTTCCAGGGCAGTCCTGCCTCAGGCTGCAATATAAAGGGAATTGTGGTTGTCTGGCCTTCCACTCACAACCATCACTCTGCCAGGGAAAAGGGCTCAGATTTCACACAGCAGCAGAATGGAATTGTGGCTAATGATCATCAGCCAGAATTTAAACCCTTGCACTGCCCAGAAATGGCTTAGAAGCTGGAAGGTAGGAAAGAGTCTCTCGCTCTCGCCCCTCCCAATGACTGTCTCCACATTAAAGCCTGAGGAGTACTTCAGGCAGTCTGACCAGAAGAGATGAGGATTCCATTCCCAACCACGCTGCACCATCATGGGGTTACAGAGGTGTAAGTGTGAGATCCCTTCCCATGTTCAAAATGATCCTGACTGACTGCTTGACTGCACGGTGGGGAAATGGGCATCCCGGGGATGGGATTTCTAATATGCACTAATGTGCTGCACGTTAACTAGTCCACATATGCCCTGTTAGTGCTCACGAAGAGTTCCCTAGTGTGTGTTAACAGCACTACGTTAAAGCACACTAGGGCACTTCTGGTGTGCACCAGCAGGGTCTACACGGACCAACTAACGTGCACCACATTAGTGCATGTTAGAAATCCTAACCTCGTCATGTCTACATAGGTGTAATGGGCAAGACCTGAGTAAAGACCTGAGTAGTACTAGACTGCTCCTACTTACGTGGGTACTAGCTAGGCTGGAGGAGAAATGCAGGCAGCCTTTCAAACTCTCCTGGACACTTAGCAGGCTATTCCTACAATCAAGATGTGTACCAGTAGCCCTCCTTGGTGGTATGATCTCCCAGACCAGGACAGATAGCAAGCTACCTCCCCCCTCTAACGTCCAGGGCAAGTACCACATATACATCACCAAAGAATCCTCTCTTCTTCCCCCCCCCCCAAAAAAAAACAAACAAACAAACAAAAAACCCTGCAAGACTTTTTCAGTACAGGATGCTAGTGGCTAACAAGGAACTCATTAATTTAGTAAAATACCATATTACATACAGTTTCCCCTGGATACCTCCCTAGTACATCATAAGATCTAAATGTAGACTTCTCATTAAAGCCAAATGTTAAACTAAGTGTTTCCATAAAAACAAATTCCATAAATGTTGGGAGTGTAAGACTGGCTTCAGAAGGTTTGTTACTTCCAAAAAAGGAACAAAAAATGTTAGGAGTGTAAGACTGGCTTCAGAAGGTTTGTTACTTCCAAAAAAGGAACAAAAAATGTTGGGAGTGTAAGACTGGCTTCAGAAGGTTTGTTACTTCCAAAAAAGGAACAAAAAAATGGACAAATAAAAAGCCCCATAGCTCATAAGAGCGATGATGCACTGCTTCAGATGTACCCTTTCAGACCAAACACATTGCATATACTTTACTAAGAAAAGCCTTCCTCATCTAGGGGTATGATCCTTGCTTGGAGTGACATGTCTCAGATTTTGTCCTGGACAAACTCTTGATGTGATTTGTGATGAGCAATGGCTTCTAACTCTCTGGCTACAAGGAATCCATGTTATGCCCATGAATAGCTATTACTCATCCTAAACAGATATCTTGTGCATCCCAATTTCCAGATGAGGAGTTGTTTGTGGAGGCGGAGAAATTAGTAGCTGAGAGATCAGAGGTCTCAACCCTCACTATCAAAACCAGCGTAAAAAATCCATTGGTTGTTACCAATACCAAGGGTATCCAAGAAGGGATTATTCCTCTAGCAGAAGAAAAATCTGGAGTAGGGCTGGAATTATGAATAATATTAGAAATTCATATTAATAATATGAGATCACCAGACACTAATTTAACCATAAATTCCTATATTAAGTACAAAGGCAAAATGGTATTTTATACAATTGCTCTAAACATGCCTAACAGCCTGAAAATAAAGTCACTACACCCAATACAGTAACAAAGTATTCATGGCCATGATCATTATACTTACAAGTAGGCCAGGCCTAGGGAAAGCTATCTCATTTGGGCAGATCAGGTAGGGTCTAACAAAGAACCCTCAAATTCAAAGCTCTTTTTATACCTTTTAACAAACAAGCGATGTCATTGCCAATTACTGACTTCAGCTAAAAAACCAATTTGAGACAATTGCTTCTTTGTTCCAGTCTTAATTCAGATAAGATTTACAATCACCTTTCTTCCCAAGGCCTTTCTGGCCAATAGTTTTCCATTGCACCTGGCTTCAGATAGGTTCTACTTTTAAAATAATACTGGGAACATTATTTATGTTGGCTCCTTTTTAGACAGATTTCCTTTGTCTTATTTAAAACCATCTGCAGTCACCCTTATCAGCCAGAGGTCTTCTTTTTAGAAGCGTCCCCTTATCTCAGTTATTCTTTGAGCTAGATATCCTATCTACTTCATTTCTTCTGGCCTTATAACTCATTGTTTTCAAGGCCTCCCTTCTGCTTGTGAGTCAGGGCCTTTCTTTGCAACACGCATCTATTTCCTTAACCAAGCTTAAGCTGACACATTCTTTAATTTCATATTTATGCTACAAACAGAAACTTCCAAGGAAACCTAAGTAAGTTTTCTTTCAAACCAACAAAATCCTCAGCATGACGGGGAGGGGAGGTGCATTTGTGTACAAGAGCTTACAGTTCCACCACAAGATTCTTCCTTCTGATTCACCCTCTGCATCCTGAGTCTTAAGTGGCAGGTAGTAGTCAGAGTAAAGCACAGGTCGCACATTAATCCTGTATCCCTGCATAGCTAGCATGCCAATCAGTACCTTGTGCAGGGAAATAGTCTATCAGAAACCGTGATGGGGATGGTCAGGCCTAGCAGTCAGAGCTGTGGCAGCAGCCAGAGCCAGGATCAGGAGTCCAGAGCAGGGTTGGAACAAGGTGAGAGTAAGAGCAAGGCAGGGACAGGATGAGGAACAAGCCTGGAGCAGGCTATGACTTGTGGATTCTGTTTCCGCTATCAGGTAGAGAAGAGTTCCAACTCATGAATCACCAAACCAGCTCCAGGCATGTGGCTTGGCTGGAACCTAGCACAGGAGTGATTCATCTATGCATGTGGTTTAATCAGGCTCTGGTTCAGGGATGACTCATAGAATATCAGGGTTGGAAGAGACCTCAGGAGATCATCTACTCCAACCCCCTGCTCAAAGCAGGACCAATCCCCAGACAGATTTTTGCCTCATATCCCTAAATGGCCCCCTCAGGGATTGAACTCACAACCCTGGGTTTAGCAGGCCAATGTTCAAACCACTGAGCTATCCCTCCCCTTACACAGACTCAGTCATAACTGGAAAGCTGCTGAAAAGGATTCATAGCTACAGGTCCTTCAAAATCCAGAAGAGCTTTTGATCCCAATGCAGAGAATTGCTCACCCAGATTTCAAAACAGACATGGCTCTGGCTGTAATTTTATCATAACGGTAAAGATTTGCAAAGATACAAGACTTTGCATCAGTCACTTCCTGAGGGGGTCATCAGCAGCCAGTTGTCTCCAATGAGTAGGATTGCTGGTATCGTGCATCAGTTCTATCCCCTGAGCAGGTTTCTGAAAATGTGCCTGCAGAAATTCTTTCTGGGAGCCTAGAAACATGCAATTGATGCAGTGGAAAATGAGGTGTCATTTTGAGATCACATCTGAAGGCCCCTTTGTGCGCAGATGGGTGCAAACAACATGCTAAGAGTTAACCCAATTTTCACTCTAGACCTTGCATACTCACTCTGGAAGCAAGCCTGACTGGAGAGCAGATTTGGAAGACAGACTTCCAAAAGCACAGAGTACACATCCCTTTACTTCCCTTTGACAGCACTATCACGATGTGTCTGGACAAAAAACTAAAAAGCACAAACATAGGCACATGGAATTGGACCAATAGTCCATTAAGTCCATTAAGGTCTATGACAGTGTGACAGTGGCTAGTACCAGCTGCATCAGTAGAAGGTGCAAGAGACCACCTACCAGGCAATCACAGAGAAGTCACCTACTACCTTCCATTCAAGGTTGTCTTATGATTGATTGATTGTATCCCTTCCAAAACCAGGGAGTAACCAGAGCTCAAAGTTTCTCTGTGGGAATGGAAATAATGTCCTGGTTAGAAAACAATCCGCTGCCTTTCAAGACAGTTTACATAAAGATAAAGGAAGAGCTGGAGGTCTCCACTGGCCCAGAAGGCACTTTGGACTTGCTAGATAGTCAAGGACCCCACATTGTACCTGCTGAAGAGACCAAATCTCTTGAAGCAGAGATTCCTTCATTCAGACCAGGAACACCTACAGTTAACAGCCTGGGCATTGGCAGAAAAGTGTAGTTCAGCATGGATTCTCCATTACAATTTGGTATCTTGACAGAACTCAGCCAGGAAGTCTCATGTATTGATCTGGCCAAATGTATGTTTCTAGTGCAAGGGGAAGCAGCAGAAACTGCCTCTTTGTGCAGTGCCAAGAACATCGGGATCCTAACCTCTAGATGCTATTGTGATACAAAGTCCTGGTGATCTGAGTTACATTAGGGTTTCATCAGGATGACGGGTTGGAGTCCTACATCCCAAGCACCATAAAAACAGGTACCAGCCCTAGTGGCATTCTGTAGGTAGGCTCACCGGATGCTCCATTTGAGTATCATCAGATGCCAAAATGAGTCAATGACAGATTAGACAGGTCCTGTGGCTGGTTTTTCTAATTGCCATTACCTCTGAAAGGCAAGCTTTGGAATTAGTTCCTCAATCTATACAAGAACCACACTGATGTTGTCATGAGGAAAAGGTTATTCTTATAACTCCAGAATCTTTTCTATTCAAGGTAAGTTCTTTCCACAATTTCTGGGAGATAGTGCCATCATTTTGGCCATCCAAAATGCCAGGGCATTAGGGCCTCAAGTTTGCCACAGGCAGGCCATTAAATTCTGCACCAGTTGGCATGCTGGGCATCTGGGAAACTATTCACAGAAGTCCCAGTGGGCACCGGAGAATACGTGTCTGAGCCTCATCTGAGGAAGACGTGCAAAGTAAGTTTCCATTCCTCTACCACGGCATCCTTTGGTAGGAAGGTGCTACTAGGTTGATTTCCATGTAACTTGTTAGCTTACAAATCTCTTGCTTTATATGGTGTCAAGGTTCCTTCCCCACTCTGAACTTTAGGGTACAGATGTGGGGGACCTGCATGAGAAGCTCTAAGCTCAATTAACAGCTTAGATCTGGTCTGGCTGCCACCACTCCCAAGTACTAATTCCCTTCCCTGGGTAGCCTTGAGAGACTCTTCACCAATTCCCTGGTGAACACAGATCCAACCTCTTGGATTTTAAAACAAGGAGAAATTAACCATCCCCCCTCCTTTCTCCCACCAACTCCTGGTGGACCCAGATCCAACCCCCTTGGATCTTAAAACAAGGAAAAATCAATAGGTATTAAGAAAAAAGGTTTTTAATTAAAGAAAAGAAAGGTAAAAGAAAACCCTCTGGGAGAGATTAGCATACCAGCTACTCTCACAGACAACAGATTCCAAACACAGAGGATGTTCGCCTGGGCAAAACCTTAGTTACACACACAAAAATACCCAAATACCCAATTTGATTCTTCCTCTAATTGCACAAGACAGGTTACAAAGAAATAAACATAAACCTATTTATTTCCTTCCCTAATACTCACTACTTAATAAGATGCTGAATTCAGGAGCTTTCCCACTCCAGTCAAAATGAAACTTACACAGACGAAGGGAACTTCCCTCCTTCCCTTTGAACCATCTTGTCCTCCCATTGGTTTCTCTGGTCAGGTGTCAGCTAGGCTAGGTGAACTTCTTAACCCTTTACAGGTAAAAGAGGCATTAACCCTTAACTATCTGTTTATGACATATGGTAAGAGCATCCAGTCCTGCCTATTATTCTATGTAATAAGGATGAGCAGAGTTTTTTTTGTTTGTTTGTTTTTTTATTATTCCTAAGAATGGGGGTTAGACTAGATGACCCTTGTGGTCCCTTCTAACCCTATGATTCCCTCCCCCCACTTCTAGGATTTACTACTTGCTACTTCCCATTAGTGATGAATGAGGACAGAAGCTGTGAAACAGAATAAGAAACTTCTTACCAGATAGTTTTTTCTGTTAGCAGCTTTTCTCTGAAATCAACCTGTCTTGCTAGTCTGGTAAATGACCAGAATACAAAATTGAAAATTTTCTCTGAAGGGCAACTTGGACATATATTGTCTTAAAGTTCATTAATACACTATATCAAGTTGTTCTCTTAATGCTAATAATAGGTTGTTGGAGCATTTCTCTAGCTTTGGAACAACTCTTCAGGTGGCCTGAGCTGACGGGCAGGGCTTAGTTCTAGGGCCTCCAGCAACAACACTGGACCACCTCCAAATACTATAGGTGGGGGACATTAACCCATTAGTAATGAATGAGGATAGAAACTACTAACAGAAAGAGAATGACCAGGTAAGAAACATCTCATTCATGTCTGTTCATGTAAGAACGTTTTTAACCAGCCTGAGGAGACATGCAGGAGCAGCTGCACCAGATTCTGTAATACAGCTTGTACTGTAGCAGTTCCAGAGCAGTGGGTAGGGCACTCCCCTTTATTTCAATAATCTGTTTGTTATAGCAATGGCTTGACTGGCACTTTTGACTAATTAGGGTACCTGCCTCTAAGGAAGGTAAAATAACATTCTGCTTAAAATTGACCTAGAGAGGTGTGTCTGGCTTCCCTGCAGACTCCTATTTCCTGATTCCTGTTTTCAATCCTCTGGTAAAAAAACTGCGCTAAATCAGTCCAGTGGATAACCTCAACTGTCCTTTCTCTCTGGCCAGTTTGTCACCAGTGTCACTGTGCTATGATCTGACTGTGAGGTACCCTCATAACTATATTGATTGGATTACTAATCCTTTTGAAGGGAGTTGTTTCCTGTACTCGACTGGTGATTATCTTGACCTGTTTGTACTTCCTTTAATGCTAGCTCTACTGCACGTTCATGCTGTTGCCCTCAAATTAAGAGACACCTTAATGTAATTGCATGGTTGGTAGGTTTCATTGTCTGGCTCTGCATTTTAATACTGTATTAATGAGTTATGGCCCGAGTTATACCATCACTACTTAAACTTCCATACATAGTGTACAAGGAGGCCAAGAAGTCCATAGAGCCTAGATTGATTTGAGTTAGTAGCTACAGTATAAAAAAGAATGAAGAACATAGCCACGATCTGTAATAACCATGTGATGGCACATTCCTTCATACTAGCTCATTTCAACCAGTAAGATAATAGTATGTAAACAAATGGATGACAAGGAGGCAGACTAGGAATATGGTGAAGAGGGGAGGTCTCTGACCTCCAATATCATAATCCCACCCACTCCCCAATGAACTGTTTGTGTGTGTCAGCAGCCAGGAGGGAACCGGGAAAAGAAAAAGGGTATGGAGCTTGAGATGGGATGCTCCCTCTGTTCTCACAGTTCTAGTAACCATGAATTTTCTGGAGTAAAGAGTAAGAGCTGTTTTGTGTGTAAGAGGGGGACAGGGCAGAAAGCTATTTACAATAAGAATGTTCTCTTTCAAAAGTCAAGCCTAATTCTCACATGCGGAAGTGTAGAGTGTCAGTTTAATGATTTTATGGATCTCAGGTGCTCAATTGGAGCTATTTAAAGTGATGTCTAAAAATGTGTTTTCTCCTAGGCATTCACGTGGTCTACGATCTTTCCAGACCACCAGGAAGCAGAGTTGTCAGCATAGAAGTTCTTTGCACGGCCTGTAGAGTACCAGCCTATGTACCACTCCAAATGGATGAAACGTACAAAGTGATTCTTCCTTCTTTTCTGCAGCAGGGAGGAGATGGATATTCTATGCTAAAAAATAAATCACTGAGTCACAATCAGGGTAAGCATAGACACTCCATATTGAATATGTAGCAAGCTATTAGCCATGTAGTGGACATCAAAGACTAACATCCCCCTAGTTTTAAGAATGTTAAAGATGTTGCTATAATACGAGACCTCACAATTTCATCTTAAATAGAATCGATATAATTTGCTTTGAGTCGCTGAACACTCAGGGCTAATCATCCTGATTTAACTCCGTATCTTTCAGTTGATAATTGTTAGGCCTGATCCTGAGAGAAACTAAGCGCCTGCAACTTCCATTGAAATCAGCATTTTTCAGAATCAGGTTCTCTGGCTGCATGTAACAGCTTAGACTAGCACAGAGCAGGAACCAGTGTCACTAACGTATCATTTTAAGGAAACGAGCAGAAGCATGCCAGAGGGGCCACCGGTGGGATCTGCAATAAGTACGTCGTGCACAATAATAAATGAAAAGAGTGGCTGCTTTCATCTACACCTCAAACATGCTACACGTCAAACGTGCCTACACCTCAACCATGCTACCCACTTAAAATATACTTGCTCAAGTAGCTTTTACCAAAAAGGTTCGTCTAAAATCTAAAGGAGAGTCAGTGTCGTGTGTGGATCACCAAAGCTGCATCGCCAGATACTGAGGTATCCACTGGACAACATGGAAACAGGTTATAGAAAGGGAAAAAAAATCCTTATTCTGTACAAAATAGAGCCAGCATTTTAAAAGCTAGCGCTGCGTCTTTTGCTCCTATTGGAGCCCTGTATCAGATTATGACTAGTCATGAGCGAGTATATAGCATCAACATGCAACTGATGGTACAAGAATAAAAGCCAAGCCAGCACCAGAGGGAAAGAAAATGAATGGATTTTTCTAACGCCATTTTAAGAATACTTAAAACAGCATTTAAGTGTTTAGCAAGTACAATACTCTGCCCTGTATAGCTGCCATCCAAATCTGTTGGAAGAAAAACTTTTAAAGGATTTCATGTTTAATATATATAGTTAATAGCCACTTGTTTATTCAAATTCATTTCTGAAGATACACAAAGGACAGAGCCTCCCATAAAACAGAGTACACTGTAAAGGCATGCTTCGAGATCTAGCACAAGTTTTCATTTGGTCTGTAATGTTACCTGACTTTGATGGGTCTCCCATTTCCAGACTGGCTACTGTCCTGTTAGCTCAGTCCACAAAAATATAAAGAAAGTTCCCTTTTGGTCTTCAACAAAAGGTGATGCCATTTTAGATTTGGTAGGGGTGAGTAGTGAGGATCTCATAGAAGAACTGATCATAGAGGACATCTTTGTTTTGAGTGATCATGAGCTAATTCAATTTAAACTAAGTGGAAGGATAAACAAAAATAGATCTGCAACAAGGGTCCTTGATTTCACCTGAAGGGAACTGTTTAGGGAAGTGGACTGGACTGAAGAACTAAAAGAGCTGAATGTGGAGGAGGCTTTGAATTACTTAAGTCCAAAGCTGTAGAAACTATCTGAAGCCTGCATCCCAAACAAGGGGAAAAATTCGTAGGGAAGGGTTGCAGACCAAGCTGGCTGAGTATTTCAAACAGGTGATTAAGAGAAAGCAGAAGGCCTGCAAGAAATGGAAGCAGGGAGGGATCAGTAATGAAAGCTACTTTTTGGAGGTCAGAAAGTGTAGGGATAAAGTAAGAGCTGCCCAAAGCCAAGCAGAGTTGGACTTTGCAAAGGAAATTAAAACCGATAGTAAAAGGTTCTATAGCCATATAAGTAAGGGAAGAAGAAGTGGGATTGCTGAGAAGGGGGTGGAGATGAGATTATCTAGGCATGGTCCAACACTTAAACAAATACTTTGCCTCCGTTTTTAATGAGGCTAATGAAGAGCTTGGGGTAGTGGCAGGGTGGCTAATGGCAATGAGGATATGGAGGTAGAAATTACACATCTAAGGTGGAAGTTAAACTCAAATAGCTTAATGGGGCTAAATTGAGGGGCCTGGATAAGCTCCATCCAAGAATATTAAAGGAACTGGCACATGAAATTGCAAGTCCAATAGCAAGGTTTTTAATGAATGTGTAAACTCATTAGTCATACCCTATGTCTGGAGAATTGCTAATATAGATCCTATTTTTAAGAAAGGGGGGGAAATGTGATCTAGGAAATTACAGGCCTGTTAGTTTGACCTCAGTTGTATTCAAGGTCTTGGAACAAATTTTGAGAGAGAAAGTAGTTAAGGACATAGAGGTGAACGATAATTGGGATAAAATACAACATGGTTTTACACAAAGTAGATCATGCCAGAGCAACCGGATCTCCTGTTTTTTTAGACAATAGAAATGCAACAGATTCTATCTACCTGGATTTCACTAAGGCATTCGATACAGTTTCACATGAGAAATTATTAAATTGGAGAAGATGGGGATTAATATGAGACTTGAAAGGTGGATAAGACATTGGTTAAAGGGGAGATTACAATGGGTCATACTGAAAGGTGAACTGTCAGGTTGGAGGGAGGTTACTAGCGGAGTTCCTCAAGGAGCGGTCTTGGGATCAATCTTATTTAACATTTTTTATTACTGACTTTGGCATAAAAAGTGAGGTAATAAAATTTGTGGATGACACAAAGGTGGGAGATATTGTTAATATGGGGGAGGACTGTAATATCATACAAGATCTGGATGACCTTGTAAACTAGAGTAATAAAAATGAGATGAAATTTAATAGTACAAAGTGCAAGATCATGCATTTAGGGACTAACAAGAAGAATTTTTGCTATAAGCTAGGGACTTATGTCAGTTGGAAATGACAGAGGAGGAGAAAGATGTGGGTGTATTGGTTGATCACAGGATGACTATGAGCTGTCAATGTGATGTGGCTGAGAAAAAGACTAATGCAATCCTATGACGCATCAAGTGAAGTATTTCCAGTAGAGACAGGGAAGTGATACCTCATCTGGAATACTATGTGCAGTTCTGGTCACCCATGTTTAAGAAGGATGAATTCAAATTGGAACAGCTGCAGAGAAGGGCTACTCAGATTATCTGAGGAATGGAAAACCTACTTTGAGGGGAGACTCAAAGAGTTTGGCTTGTTTAGCCTAGCCAAAAGAAGGCTGAGGGGAGAGATGATTGCTCTCTATAAATACACCAGAGGGATAAATACCAGGGTGGGAGAGGACTTGTTTAAGTTAAGCACCAGTGTAGACACAAGAACAAATGGGATATAAATTGGCCATCAACAAGTTTAAGATTGAAATTAGGTGAAGGTTTCTAACCGTCAGAGGGGTGATGTTCTGGAGCCACCTCCTAAGGGGAGCAGTGAGGGCAAAAACCCTGCAAAACTTAGCTTGATAGTTTTATGGAGGGACTGGTATGACAGGACTGCCTGCAATGGCATGTGGCCTATTGGCAACTGCCAGTAGCAAAAATCCCCAATGGGTGGATCTGGGACAGTAGATGGGGAGAGCTCTGAGTTACTACAGAGAATTCTTTCCCAGGTGTCTGGCTGGTGGGTCTTGCTCACATGCTCAGGGTTTAACTGATTACTGTATTTGGGTAGGGAAGGAATTTTCCCCCGAGTCAGATTGGCAGAGACCTGGGAGTTTTTCACCTTCCTCTTCAGCATAGAGCCTGGCTCACATGCAGGTTTAAACTAGTGTAAATGGTGGAGTCTCTGTAACTTGAAGTCTTTAAACCATGATTTGAGGACTTCAGTAACTCAGTCAGAGGCTAGGGGTCTATTAGATGGGTGGGGTGAGGGTCTGTAGCCCACAATGTGCAAGAGTTCAGTGGTGGTCCTTTCTGACCTTAGTCTGAGAGTCTATGGTTATCGCGTCCCTCACAGATGGGATCTTTTGAGCCAGAGCTATTTCAAAGTCAGTTAATCTATAGTGCCTTTATCTTCATTAGGTGAATATATTTTGCATAGTTACCACTTCTTTTGTAATGTTAAAACAACTCCCAGTAAAAACCTATGCAGAAATAAATTAACATACTGATGGAAAATTCACATGGAGTCTGTGTGCACAAGGAAGCACACAGTTCCTAACCATACTAAAGATGTAACACTGGAAAGGTACAGTGCATAACCTCTCAGCTATACATACCTGTTACCTGCATAACAAAGCACAGTGTCAGAGAATCGTTTGGAAATGGGACTCTGGATCCCTGTGTATGTAAACATGCTAGATATGCACTAGTAACCCTACAAAGATAAACCAAAGTAACTATGGCAAGGGCAATGCTTTTCCCAATAAACTTTCAGCTGCCCACTGTGACATTCTGGAAAAAACTTTTCACAATAGTTGAATTGTTCTAGCTCTCCATCCCCGTAAAAGACACATTTATAATCCATTGTGATTTCCCCAGTCCCTTGATGTCATAAACCAGTGGTTTGCAACCCTAAAAATTTTCAAATGGAGGAGTGGACCCCTTTGGAAATCTTAGACATAGTCTGTGGACCCCCAGGGGTCTGCAGACCACAGGTTGAAAACCACTGTCATAAATAATTGTGCTCTCCTGAATATGAAAATGTAGTAGAAAGCAATTCCTTCTTCAAGGGAAATTAGTTTAAAATGAGACTCAAGAATACAAAGTTTGGGGGTGCTATTTAACATTACTATTAATTTCACAATATATATAAAAAAACTTCTGTTTATTTAGGTGATCTTGATGTTGAAGTAGTTTCCAGTTACATCTCTAGAATGGGACCTGTTTTTCCAGCAGTTGAAGGACGAGTGAAGTTTTCTGCAGGAAATTTCATCCAAGGAAGTATTACACTGATTGCTGGCTTATTCACTGTGACATTCCTGCACTTCATTTTTTAATTCTTATTTGCGATGCTTTTAGACTGCTGCTAGAAAGCCTGCTCCCCTGCCCTTTGCCTGCACCTCCCAGCACATGTTTAAACAGGTCCTAGGTCTTGGCATACATTCAGTAATTATAGTGGAGACCAGCTCTCTTTAAAACATGGCTCTTCTAAATGCTGTATTATGTGCTTGGTTGCCTTGAAATTTGGTGTGCTTTGTAGGGGTTTGAGGTAGGAATATTGATCCAAATCTGGGGTCACTTGACTAAGGGCTTCCTGAGATGTATCTCTCTGGGGAACAAACAAAACAGTTTTGCTGAAGGTTGACATATTCTAACAGGTTTTTTTGCCCAGATCTGGGTATCAAAGCTTGGCTCTAAAAAAAAGCTGTGAAGCATACTATACAGAATGATGGGGCATTTTGGCAGGTAGTAGGTTTCCAAATTTGATACAGCAGGTTTAATTGCACTTCCTTGATGTTTCTACCCTCAAACTCAAGTTCCAAAGAGCAAAGCATTAAAGGAAAAACATCTTATTCCACCGAGAAATATATTGTATTCTATAGAAATATTTACAAGCACATATCCGTGTAAAATTTTCCCTCCAACTCTTCCCATGCACACTGAAACCGTGAAATCAACAAATCTTTTTTTCAGTAGTGTAAGTAAATTCCTTATAGATGCATTACTACCTTCCTCTGTCGCCTGTGCAGGGTTGAAAACTTAAATGTGAAAACAGTATCCAGTTTTTAATCACACTTATCTTGGCTACATCAGTGCCTGAGATAATTTGCCCCCTCTAATAGAGATTGGTTTAAACACTGAAGCACACTCAGCTCCTCTTCCACTAGGAGATTAAGACTGCCACATTATTAGAAAGGTGGGTTCCTAGGACATTGCAGAGTTTTTGGATTTCACATACCATCTCAAAAGTATGCTGTACTTATTCCTTGAACAGGTACTCTCTTTTTATAGAGGCAGCAACTTCCACTTGTAGATAAGAAAATGTCAGAGGCAAAGACTTCCAGCAGAATAAAAGTTAGTCTGATTAACAGATTCGTGTTTTTTAAACAGACAAAAAAACAAACAAACAGCAAAAGGTTACACCTATGGGCCAAGAAGCATACCTTGTAGATAGCTTCAGCTGGAATTCGACTGTATCCTTCAAGTTATCCAGTGAGGTGGATTTGGCCAGCAGAATTAACATTTTAGCTATCTTTGTGCAAAAGGGAGGAGGGAGTAAATGGGACGGGGGATATAAAAATTGAGACTCACAGGTTCACTCTTAACAGAGTTTCAGATTTGTGTACTTGTTTTAAGCTTCTTGTTAGAATACAAAGCTCTCTTATTTGGTGTTGACATTTTCTGAAAGTGCTGCCCAGAAGCATCTGTAAAAAGGTATAGCATGGATATGTAATATGTAACTACATAAGTAAAACTACTTTAAAAAAGAATTGTCGATGGGTTTTCTAATGGGTAGTTTGAAGGGGGAAAAAAAGCTTAAAATGTATGGGTAGGAAATCTCAACATGGAAAGTTTCTTTAAACATTCTATTAAGAACAGATTGGGGTTCCCCCTCCAGTTTTTTAGTCCTCTAAGGAAGACTCTGGCAAGACTTCGTATTTGTGATATTTCTAAAGTAAAAAGAGCAAAAAAAAGTAACCTAATTATTTCTGAAGTGCTTCATGCTTCAGCGTCAGTTGCTAGATAAACTGAACACTTTAATGATCATTAGCTCCCTGTTCTCTACAATGTGTAAGTACTTTTCATGCTAACAAAGTACGAAAGGCCAAAAACTAAATAAGCTTTGAGATAATGATTTACTTGCAACAGATTCAATTTCTTCACTGTCTATGAAAAAAAGGGACATGGAGATTTATTTTGGGGAAATTTTTAGCAATATTTTACCATCTTACTCTAGCAAAGCTAAGTTTATATACAGCAGCCACCTCCCCACAAAAATCTTCCTAATTCCAGAGTTTTTCAAAATATCCTTTCAGGAAGATGACCCCTTTGTTTTTAGCAGTACACATTTAGGTTTGGTCTTCTACAGGTCTGCTTTTCAATGTACAATAAACATTACCATATTCTCTCCTACACTGACAATTTTTTGTAAAATGAATATTGTGTCTATTAGCAATAGTTACACTTTTGAGGAGAAGGGTAACAAGTTCAAATAGCGGACAAAGTTCTTTAATTTCAATCAGTATTAAATTTGAATTAAACTTTATTAGGCAAACAGATCTTCAGAAGTTAAATTTCACTGTTATTTACAAGAAAATATACAATTCAAGACTAAAATGTTTCACATCCATTAAATTAGTGCACTGCAGTCATTTTCCTTTTCGTGTTCATCCAAGCTCCTGCTTTTACATCCAAGATGATACAGAGGTAGCTTCCTTCTGAACCTATTATAAGTAGTAATTGAGAAAAAAATTTGCACTGTAATTTACTGAAGTATGGAAATATATATTTACATAAACAATCACAATGAACAAAATATTTTAAACATATATTAGAAACCATCATAATAAATATGGAGGTCCAGAAATTAAAGGATAATGTTCATAATTTTTCCCCCACTGTGCCTTAAATCAGGAAATGTCCTTTCTTTGTAGCTCCTGCTGTTCCCAACCTTTAAACCAGCTTTTCTGAACACAATCCTATGATCTAGAATCCCTCATTCTGAAATGAAATCTTTAGTCTTTACTCTCATTTCTCTTCATCCCCTGCTGTGATTTCTTCCTCCCTCTATCATCCCAGCTCACCACCACAGGGTTTCCAGGAGATTAGATGTACATTGGGTTTGAGACTGAGTTTATAGAATGGCATTTTACTGCTCTTCTAAAGACAGCTCTTATATAATCTATTTATGAATGTTTCATTTGGGTGTTAAGTCCAGTACATCTGAATTGATTAAATGTATACTGGTAATGACAAGTCTAATTAAATAAGAATCCAATATGTCAGACAGGAAGATTAATGGCTGAAAAGGGAACAGAAGGGCTAGAAAAAACAAAGATATAAACTTGAAGACTGGACTTATTTCATAGCACCAGTTAAGAACTGGGTTATTTACCAAATACTGTATGTAAACAAGCTATGGCTTTACAGCATAATAGCTCATTTTAAACTAGGTTCAAAGGGGGCAGGTGACAAAAGTCCCAAGTAGGCATAAAAAAAAGGCAACAAACAGAGAGCTAGATGTTGGGGGAGGAGGGATAGGGGCAAAATGGAAAATTACAACCAGGTCAATAGGAGCAACAAGAGGAAAAAGAGCAGGGGAATGTGCTCAACATCGTGGGAGGACTATACACAAATGCAAGAACGTGGGGAATAAATAGGAAGAACTGGAAGTAGTAGTACACATATTATGACTTAATTGGCATCACTGATAAGTCTTGGTGGGATAAACCTCATGATTGGAATATTGGTATAGAAGAGTAGAGCTTGTTCAGGAAGGACAGGCAGGGAAAAAAGGGAGAAGGTGTTGCATTATACATCAAGAACATATACACTTGTTCTGAAGTCCAGAAGTAGGTCAGATGCAGACCAGCTGAAAGTTTCTAGGTGAAGATAAGCAGGGGTGGAGGGGAAACAAGAGTGATGTCATGGTAGGGGTCACTATAGACCACCAAATCAGGCAGAGGAGGTGGATGAGGCATTTCTACAACAAGTGACAGCAATATCCAGAATCCAAGACCCCTGGTAATAATAGAGAACTTTAACTACGCAGACATCTGTTACAAAAGTAATAGGGCAAAACACAATGTCCAATAAATTCTTGGAATGTATTTAAGACCACCTGTTTCAGAAGGTGGAGGAAGTAATGAGGGAGACAGGGAGGAATTGGTTGCGAATCTGAATGTAGAAAACAATCTGGGTGAAAGTGATCATGAAACGACAGATATCATGCTAAGGAAAGGAAGGCGAGAGAGCAGCAGAATAAGGACAATGGACTTCAAAAAAAACTTGGAGAACTGGCAGGTAAGGTCACAGGGGAAGAAAACTAAGGAGAAAAAGAATTCAGGAGAGTTAGCAGTTTCTCAGAGACAATATTTAAGGCACAATCGCATGATGAGAATAGCTCAATGTGAAGGAAAGAGAGGAAGAACAGTAAGAAGCCAATATGGCACCATCAGGAGCTCTTTAATGACCTGAAAATCCAAAGGGAATTCTACAAAAAGTGGACACAGACAAATAGCTAAGGACAAGTACCAAATACCACAGGAATGTAGAGATAAAATTAAAAACTAAGGCACAAAATGAATTACACCTAGCAAGGGTCATAAAAGGCATTAGTAAACTAAGGAAATGTGGTCTAAATGAAATTACTATAAGATGGGTGCACAACTGGTTGAAAGCCCATACTCATAGTTATCCATGATTCATTGTCAAACTGGGAGGACGTATCTCCTGGCATCCCACAGAGGGTCTCTGGAGCTTATTGTTAAGTCATCCAAAACCAAAGAAGGACCTTCGAATGCAGGTCGAGAAAGGTCTGGCGGACCTCTGGGGGAGCCCAGAGGACTGAAACCATGAACATCTTAAAGTAATAGCTGATGCCATGGTTCGAGCTGCTGAGTCCACACCATCCAAACTGTCCTGAAAATCAGTTCTGGTAACCAACTTACCTTCTTCCATCATTAGAGTGAACTCCTGCCTGCAGCTCTCTGGTAACCTGTCCTTGAACTTAATGTTTTCCCAAAGCGTGATGTCATAGCGACTCAAGAGTGCCTGCTGGTTTGCAATCCTAAATTGCAGACTTCGCAAGGATTAAAGTTTGCGACCCAGCAAGTCTAGTCTTTTTGAATCTTTGCCTTTAAATGTTGATGCTTGGGTGTCCTTACCTCTCCTGCTGGTTAGTAGCTCCCATTACTAAGGAGCCTGGAGGAGAATGAGAATACAAGTGCTCATATCCTTTAGAACGGTCGTTGTACCTCCTCTTGGCCCATTTTGTTGTGGGATATGGGGCGGGGGGTCTACTCAAGTGCCTTAACTGGCTCCATAAGTTGCTTCATTAATCAGCAGAGCCATTTTAGAAAGGGCCATTGGTAACAATGTCCACTAACTTGCGAGAACTCTCACAGACCTCCTCTGCCTGAATGTCAAGAACAGAGGCTACCCTGGTGATGAAGAAGAGGCAACAGGATGCTGAGGTAGTGGCTGCTCTGTGTCTTACGGTGGAGAAGCCACACAAGTGACTTCCGGCTGCTCTCAGTACTGGGTACTGGAGAGCGTTGTCTGTAGTGCCATTTCTCTTGGTGCACCCTTGAGGAAACCAAACAAGGCAGGTAAAGAGAAGTCCTAGCAGGCAGGGGGATGCCCCACAGCATCCAGAATGGCCACAGATATGGGCCTGGGACTCATGCTTGACTGGGCCATTGCCCCTGAGGAGGCAGCCAGTGCTGTGACTACTGTAACACCCATGGTCTCCAGTTCTCTGACAGAGAACTGGCTGGGACACAGAAGAATGTACCCCCAAGTCTGACCCCTCAGACAATGGAGGAGCAGAGCCAGTCAGAATTGGGGATAAGTAGCCAGAATCCGGGGATGGTAGTACCGAGGATATCATTGCTGGCTTGCCTCTCGACTGCACTGGCTTTTGTGGAAGTGTGGGCTGTAGTGGTACCGCATGCTCCTGATGCGGTGACTGGAAGCCTTCCTGTACCACTGGGGATATTGACACTGAAAGGCTAAGGTGGTCTCCATATGCCTCTGGAGTGGTTGGTAGCGGTAATGATTCCTGACAAGGATTTTTCACAGGTCAGCCTCAATGGACCTGGCCAGGTTCCAGAGGCAGTGATCCCTTCTTTTTAGTCAATGATTGCTCTAGGGAATCCCTCCCTCCGCGTCTTTTCTAGAGCTTCTGCTTCGGCTATGGTACTGGTGAACTTGACTGAGGTACCCAGCTAGAGGAGGGTGTCTGCTTCTTCTGCAGCACCACAAAGATCAAAGAGCTGCAGAATCTCTGGTGGGGACTCTGCATCGAAGTTGCATTCCTAACACATTCCCAATGCAACGACTCCAATGGAGTGGAGAGTATGTTTATAAAATCTGCAGATGACACAAAGCTGGGAGGGACTGCAAGCACTTTGAAGAACAGAATT